TTTTGTTGAAAGATTAAAACGAAATCTTCAGATTAATCTTCGAAATCGATCGATCAAACTACACTCCGTTGTTTATATTTGTCCCAACATGTTAACTCCGTCGAATGATCAATGAATAAGTCAGTCGAATGCGTGTCTAATTTTGTCCCCGTTATCTTCTTTCTTAAACCTTTTAAAATGAAAATTATCAACAGGCGTCTGCTTCTCGTCGCTCGAATTCTATCTCAGAGCGCGATCTTCAAGTATCCTCGTATCGGCGATCGACGTAAAATACCAACTGGCCTCGGTTGATTTTTAACAAAGACGGAAGAAAGAACAGTCAACCTTCTGTGGACACTAGTTTATCCATTCACCTTTCCGAAAGAATCGACGAATAGAGCTTGCGAAACGAAGGAGTGACAGAGCAGACACGTTGACACACTTGCGTTGCGCGTAGAACTGAAACAATTGTGGATGAAGCGTTGATGAGCTACCCGGTCGGAGATAGCACGATGCTCTCCCACTTGTGGCACGAGGAGAGTGGGTTTCTCTGTCCAACAGATTCACCGATCCCCCTTGGTTTGGCTCCTTTTTACCATCCTTTCAGTTTTCAGGTTTCGTTGAATGATAAATAGCGTGTATAAATATTTATATTCACGAACTGCAGACGTCTGTGCAAGTTCGTATAGATTTGTTTCACTTGCTAATATTATTAAATATTATTATTATATAATATTACATTATATATTAATTATATTAATATTAAATAATATTATAATAACATATTGTAATTATATAATTATAATAATATTATTATAATGTTATTATAATTATATAATTATAATTTTATATATTGTAATTATGTAATTATAATAATATTATAATGTTATTATAATTATATAATTATAATTTTATATATTGTAATTATGTAATTATAATAATATTATAATGTTATTATAATTATATAATTATAATTTTATATATTGTAATTATATAATTATAATTATATTATAATGTTATTATAATTATATAATTTAAATTTTATATATTGTAATTATGTAATTATAATAATATTATAATGTTATTATAATTATAATTTTATATATTGTAATTATATAATTATAATTTTATACATTGTAATTATATAATTATAATTTTATATATTATAATTATATAATTATATAAATTAATACTATTAAAACAAATGTGCCTTGGATTTTATATTTTACGCGTTATATTTTTCAAATTCTCATGCATTTAAGTTTTCTGTAAAAACCCGATCGAGAGATAAAACTTGAATTTCCTTGAAATTTCGAAATAGATAGACAGGATATTTTCATCAAGGAGGATATAGTATTTCTCGCGAGTTAATTAATTATTTCAGAAAGTTGCAATATATAAATTTATGATAGAAAAGAGTAGAAATGAATTTTGAATTAAATGGTAAACTTGAATGAACTGTAACGCGAGAGATAAAATCTTGTAATAAACATCATTAACGTTATTATCGATTTTCATCCATAGTATTCGAAGTGTATTGTGCATAAATTTTCATGGGATCTTTCTAACAAAGACAGGGTTTCATTGGAGACGATTTTAACCTTGGACGATTCGCGTAGCCTTGAACAGTGGTACATTTAATCCATTTTGATACTCGGAATAATAATTGACTCTTGCAGACTCTGCCTCTGCGGCGTTTTTTTGCGTAACGAGGAAAACGATTAAACTATTTTGTTGTTTCATTGACCTCTTTCCGAGATCAACTTTGAATGAAAACATATAAAATGTACTTTGAGTGACACTTGTAAAATAATTATCGATAAAGAGAATAGAAAGCAAATTGAGAAGAGATAAATTGAATCGAATGAGCGGATCAGCGCTTGACGATATACGTACAATGAAATATAAAAAGTGATAAAGGTTAACAAATGACGTCTCGAAAGTCACTTGTGAACACTAATGGTGATGAAACAACATACCATTACAGATACATCTAGTTCTTACGTAGTTATTTGTCAAGAAAATTCCACTGATCATATTCGTTTTCTTTGTTTCTTTTTTCATTTACAGCTGTTGGAAATGTTGAAGTTTTACGCGAGATTCGAGATCAACGAAGAAAGCGGTGATCCTCTGACTGATCATGACATGACACAATTGCACTACACTAAGATCACCTCGCTTCAGGTATAAAATTTTCGTCAGCACGTACTCCGAACTTTGAAAAATTAAATTCTTTTGTTTTATTTGAAAAAAAAAACGAGTAGAGAAAATCTCAGGTTCAAAATAGAAAAAAAAAAAAAAAATAAGACGTTCTTGTCGTGAAGTAATAAAACAAAAAAAATGCCTATTGTTGATCGACATCACGGTAAATAATTGTTTCACTTTTCGAGTTTTAATGCACCATTGAAACGATTCTATCCGCATCGTTTGTCAAATCATCAACGTTGTCATTAGAATGGACCGTGTTCACGTGTTAAAAGCCAAAGGAGTACAACAGAATAAACCAACAAACAAAATTCGAACTCTGCACAGAAAGCAGTTTTTGCGAAGTTCCCGGACTTGCGAAGCTTCGCGTTGGCGAACGTGGCGAGCGTTGACACAAGAGAGGCTCTTTACAAGCATTTTGGTTTGCTCAGGTAATATTCTTGTAATTTGAATCTCATTTATTGTATACACGTGTCATTCTCATATTCCATTTCCACGTGAATTTTCAGTCAAGAGAAGCTAAGATCGATCGCAAGCTACCTGAGCTTGGTGCCATCGGAAGAACGCGAGAAAGACGAAAATTGGTACCGGTACGACATAGAATTTCTTCGAGAGCTTTTGGTAAGTTGAGTAAGGAGGAAAGTCAGTCGAGAAAGGAAAGAATAGAAGATTGTTAAAACAATTTGAAACAAATTTTAGATTTCGCGTCACGAGCGAAGAGCTTCTCAGTTAGAGGAGCTCAATGAAATGCCACTTTATCCGACAGAGGAGATCATCTGGAACGAGAGCATCGTGCCAACGGAATATTTTTCTGGAGAAGGTTGTCTAGCCTTGCCGAAATTGAATCTGCAGTTTCTTACGTTGCACGATTATTTATTGAGAAATTTCAATCTATTCCGGCTTGAATCAACTTGTACGTATAGAATTATAAATTTAATTAATCGGAGATAACATAAGGTGATTCATTGGCTAGTTGATACAAAACCAGCGTTGTCAATTACACAGCGTCAATGAATACTCTCATTTTCATTTTATGCATATATGCACACATAGTTTGACATAGAGCTAATATTGATTCGCGATGTCAGATCGTACACATACACTGACGCGGCGTTATCACTGTGACAGAATCTCATTTGAATCAACTGGCGAAGAATCACCCTGTGATATATGATACGGTAATATGAAATATTTGTAGATGAAATACGGCAAGATATCGAAGACGCTGTAAGCAGATTGAGCCCTTGGTAAGTGACTTTCTTTTAATAGATTGGATAGATACATTAAAAAGGATATTGATAATAATTTTGTGCACTCTATTTAGGCAAGCCGAAGACGGTGGTGTTTACTTTGGGGGTTGGGCTAGAATGGCTCAACCTATTACACAGTTTGCTGTAGTCGAAGTAGCAAAACCTAATATTGGCGAGAAAAGACCGTCCAGAGTACGTGCCGATGTTACGATAAATTTAAGCGTGCGTAAAGAGATCAAGTCCGAATGGGAAAATCTCCGAAAACACGATGTTTGTTTCCTCATTACAGTTAAACCACAAAATCCAATTGGTACGATTCTGTCAAACTTTGATTATTCTGTTGCATCTTTTGTGTAATTGACTCGGTAATTTAATATGCAGGTACTAAATACAGTCACAAATTACCTTTTGTACCACAAGTTGGACTAACAACTGTCCGAGGATGTGAAGTTGAAGGTATGTTAGATTCAAATGGTAGAGTAATCGAAGATGGTCCTGAACCACGACCGATTTTACCTGGAGATACTCGCACATATAGAGTTTGGCTAGATTGTAATCAATATAGAATCGATATGGACAATGCTAGCCATGGTGGTGAAGATGTGTATGAAAGTTTTAACATCATAATGAGACGCAAGCCCAAAGAGAACAACTTTAAAGCAGTTTTGGAAACAATAAGAGAGCTTATGAATACGGAATGCGTCGTACCCGATTGGCTTCATGATATAATTCTTGGATATGGTGATCCTGGAGCTGCTCGTTATTCCAGGTATCTATATCAGATGCAATTATTATTCGTGAAATATAAAAGCACTGTTAAAAGTTTCTAATATTTTAATTCTTTTGTAGAATGCCAAATGAAATTGGTACAATGGATTTCAATGACACGTTCCTCGATATAAATCATTTGAAAAGCAGCTTTCCTCAATACGAGATTAAAGTTTCTACTGATAATGAGTCGAAATTAGTGCGCCCTTTCCGTTTAACATTTGAAGATGTGCTTGCAAAACACAATGATGAACCAATAAAGAAAGTCATTAAAGTTGAACCTCACGTGCCACCCAGTAGAGGCCCTTATAAAGCTAATGAACCAAAAAAGTATGAGAAACTATTTTTTCGTATTTAATAATAAAGTAAAGTAAAAAATTATATACAATAATATTACGTATAATTTCATTGCAGAAATCAAATTCCTTTTACACCAACACAAGTCGAAGCCATTCGTGCAGGTATGCAACCAGGATTAACGCTTGTCGTAGGTCCACCTGGTACTGGCAAGACGGACGTTGCTGTACAAATTATATCAAATCTTTATCATAATTTTCCGAATCAAAGGACTCTTATAGTTACGCATTCTAATCAAGCGCTTAATCAACTTTTTGAGAAAATTATGGCGCTTGATATAGATGAAAGACATTTATTGCGTCTTGGTCATGGAGAAGAAGCACTAGAAACTGAGAAAGATTTTAGCAGATACGGTAGAGTTAATTACGTTCTCGCTAAACGTTTGGATCTTTTAATGGAAGTTCAAAGATTACAAGTTCGTAATTTACAAGTACTTATACGTTGCTCCTGATATTTGCTGCATGTATAAACTTATTCAAAATTATTGCTTCTAGGAATCCTTAAATGTAAAAGGTGATGTGGCATATACGTGTGAAACAGCAGGGCACTTTTTTATGTATCAAATACTAACAAGATGGGAACGCTTTGAAACCAGAATTAAGCAAAGACAAGGAACAGGAAATAATGTACCTCCTGCTTTTATTATAGACGAAGAATTTCCATTTCATAAATTCTTTGATAACGCGCCGAAACCATTGTTTAAACGGAATTCTTATGAAGAAGATCTTGAAATAGCATGTAGTTGTTTCCGGTAAATTTATACTAAATGAAAATTTTGCATAAGTAGTTATATCTATAACTGATTTTAATTAAACATTATTCTTACAGATATATAGAACGGATATTTGCTCAGTTAGAAGAGTTCAGAGCTTTCGAATTATTACGATCCGGCTTAGATAGATCAAAATATTTATTAGTCAAAGAAGCAAAAGTTATTGCTATGACTTGTACTCATGCTGCTCTTAAGAGACGAGAACTAGTAGATATGGGGTTCAAATACGACAACATTCTTATGGAAGAGTCTGCTCAAATTTTAGAAATTGAAACTTTCATACCATTGTTACTACAGAATCCTCAAGACGGATATAATAGATTGAAACGTTGGATAATGATAGGAGATCATCATCAGCTACCACCAGTTATTAAAAATATGGCCTTTCAAAAATACTCAAATATGGAACAATCTCTTTTTGCAAGATTTGTTCGATTGGGTGTTCCTACAGTTGACCTTGATGGCCAAGGCCGTGCAAGACCTAGTATCTGCAATCTGTATAATTGGCGTTACAAAAAATTGGGTAATCTTGTACACGTGGAGAACAGCCCAGAGTATTTAGTGGCAAATGCTGGATTTTTATATGACTTTCAACTTATCAACGTCGAAGATTTCAATGGAGTGGGTGAAAGTGAACCTAGTGCCTACTTTTATCAAAATCTCGCTGAAGCTGAATATTGCGTTGCTGTGTTTATGTATATGCGTCTTCTTGGTTATCCGGCCGACAAAATTAGTATATTAACAACTTATAATGGACAAAAGCACTTAATAAGAGATGTGATAAACATAAGATGTGCCAGCAATCCTTTGATAGGTCGACCAAATAAAGTAACGACAGTTGATAAATATCAGGGTCAACAAAACGATTATATATTATTGTCTCTTGTGAAAACTCGTGCTGTGGGTCACTTACGAGACGCGCGACGACTAGTAGTTGCTATGTCAAGAGCGCGTCTTGGCCTTTATGTTTTTGCTAGAGTGTCTCTTTTTAAAAACTGTTTCGAATTAACACCTGCATTTGCTCAGCTAATGCAACGACCTTTGAAACTACAGCTTCTCCCTCAAGAGCATTATCCTACTGAAAGACTCAACGATGCTATTCCCTCCACTTCACCAATGGAAATTGAAGATATGCCACATATGGCCAAATTTGTCTATGATTACTACATAGAAAAAGTTAGTGGTATGAAAGTAAGTTGAACATTTTTTGTTTTATATTTATTCAGGCCTTTTATAGATAAGTGAAGAGCAGCGAATAACATTTAATTACGAATTATAGGAATCACAAAAGGTGTGGCAGAAACCGGGTATGGTACAAACACCTAATAGTCCATCTTACAAAGTACCTGCCCATCCTGGAGCAGATGATGATACAGATGATGAAGAAATTAATCAAATAGATGTTGAACAAGAAAGTATCAAAGAAGAAGAAGAAGAAGACAAAGAACCAAAATTTGTGTTGATTAAAAATTTAGTTGAGGACCCAATTTCGGAAAACGAGGATGATCGTTAAGAATAAATCCTATAAATGAGCTTTGAGTAATAATAAACAAATATTTTTACTGAAAATAGGCTCTTTTTTTTATTAAAATTATATTTATTATACAATAAAATGAAATTGAATGTTATAGAAAGATTAGAAGATATTTGTATTCATTGTAAATAATATCATATTCCCATATCTTAGTCCATACTTATTTCAAAAATATTTTAGATAAATAGATCTATGCTTCGTTTTGTTAATATTTCTTTTACCTTAACACGTATTTTTCTGAATGTGATTTTTGATATTCGTTCAATAACTTTTTCGAATTTTCGTTAATTACTTCAACAGTTGACGGCACATAACTATCGTCAAATTTCATCGTCTTACTAGTAAAATCTGGATGATATTCTTCGATAGATGCTTTGATTCCCTTCGAATTCGGGATGTACTCTTCAGGATGATTTGCAATAGCTGCACCACTAGGTTCGTATGTTTCGTAAGATACTTTGGAGAAATTCACAGAATTTGGAACATATCGAACTACATCCGCTACATTCTTATTATTCGATACTGTGGGAGAATATTCATCCGAAAATCCTTGGGTTTGTTCCAATGTGCTCTTTCTACTTGGTATATAGTTCAAATTTGCGCATAACTTTTTCGTCACAGGTGCGTTTGGTACGTATTCCTCCAACATGTCATTTCCTAAGCTATCAGTTGCTAGGCATCTTTTAACTCTATCATTTTTCATATCAACCAATTCTATTGTTACTAAATCATCATTTCCTGATTTTTTGGGTAAAGCATTTTTTATGTCTTTTTTCTGACACGCATGATTAAAAGTGTTCTTAGCTGGTTTTTCTATTACTTGATTCAAAATTTCTTTTTTCTCTGTCGCTACCTTAGGCAATTCTGATTTTTCCAATCTCTTTTTTGCTGGAGACACATTTACCCTGATTGTGGGTAACGATGTGACATCTTTTATACTTTCTGATGGTTCAAATGTATATCTGTGATTTATAAAAAATATTTAAATAAATAACTAGCAATAATTATATATCATGACACAACCATTGATATACATATACATATTTTTTTAATTGTAGTGTAATAAAATAAAAGCAATATTTTCCATGTAATATTAAAAATTAATATAATATACTTAAATAATTGTTATAATAATTAAATAATTACAATAATTGATATACTTAAATAAATGCTTATCTTATAAATAAGTATATAAATACATATATAGTATAATTTAAGTAATTGAAATTAAACGTGAAGTCAAAATTAAATGTAAAACAATTTCGCTTACGTGACTTCCAATTGCCGAGTAGATTTCTTGCATTTGCATTTTTTAAAATTCTGGAGCGACCCTTCTGTTTGAACATTACGTGAAATTGCCTTCTCTAAAATTTTATATAGTGCCACCCAGTCCTCGACCTCGAGCCATTTGTTAGTTGAAACGTTTTTCTCTTTAATTTTTATTGTCTTCTCTTGAACAGTAACAACAACCGTAACTAAACAATTATTTGAAGCCTACGAACACAGCTTCTGTTTTACTTGTATAGATGCAAGATCATCTATTGACAGCTGTTAACAGCTGTTAAGTGAGATACCTTAATTACTTCCAAATATTGACCATCGCGAAACATTCTTGCAATATGTTGTAAATTATTAATGGTTCGATTTTTGTTTTCTTTTTTTCGTGGATTACTCGCTCTTGCTATTTCACAAGGTTTTTTGTTTTTAATTCGAGAAATTATTATCGATGATGTTTCTAACATCACCGCCAGTTACCTCAGCTCAGATATAATGTTAACGTAATACATCTACATCGGTACACGCATGTCAGTATATGTTGAAATACATGAGAGTAAAGAAATTCGTCTGAAAATAGAAGTATTTGGCTTGTAATTATTATTATTGTTGAATCCACAAACTTTTACATGATACATAAAATTACAAAAAACTAACATTTGTCTAAGATCAGAATCATTTATTTAAGATAGTTCTATAAAGAAGTAATGTCGCGCTTCATCGAAATTTAATTTTGAATTAAATCCGTATAAATTATTTACTGCATGTATATTAAATTAGTATAATGTAAATCATTAATAATATACTTTTCGTAAGAAATTAAATAAATATTTTTTTTATGTTAAGGTAACATTCGTGAAATAAAAAATTTTCATGTGTCGACAGTCGATATTTGAATTGAGGAATTTTCGTAAAAATAACCGATGATTAAATACCTCGTTAAACATACGTATACATATGTATATTCACAATAAAGTATTTTCGCATAAACGTGTTTCAGGTTGTTTGAAAACGAACGGGAGCAATAATGCCAGAGTCGACTATCTTAGAAAGTTATATCATTTTTAGTGAAACAAATTCTCAGATGGTCAAGGTATGTATGCTCTAACCTACATTTCCTTTATTGCAAATGTTGTTTTCATGTGTATAATATAATCGTATTTGTTGATATTTATTTCAGGCTTTGAGTTATGGAATTGCTAGTATAGGCTTGGCAATTGCACTCTATCGAGTCAAACCTGTATGTATAATAAATACTAATAATATATTATTTATTTCTATTTTACATTTTTTATTATTATGCTCATTTTATTTGATGTTGTTACATCAAATTTATTTGATGTTGTTACATAACGTTTTATATTTTTTACCATTGTATCTTTAGTTTGCTAAATTTAGAAAACCATCCAGTATACCATCAAATTTTTTACATAAGAAAGTTCAACTTAAAGGTACTGTGATGCGTATAGAACCTAGTTGTGATATACTTTTAATGGTTGATCACAAGCCATTAATACCTCTGCCTCGATTAAGTAGTTCAAAATACTTACCAATTAAAATAGCTGGTGTTGATGTAAGAGCTAATGGTAAATATGGATTAAACATCTATAGATATGTTACTTTAATAAAATAAAAAATATATATTTCTAGGTATAAGCTGGTTGCAAACTATTCTAAGTGGAAAAGAAATAACTTTCATACCTTTAGTTAAAGAGAAAGACTATGTAACTTGCTTAGTATCTATGAAGCAAAATAAGGTAAAAAATATTTGCTAAGTTCACTCATTTTTTCAGTTCAATTTGTACTTTAAATTATATAGGAATATATAAAAATTGGTGAGGAATTAACAAAAGTTGGTTTTGCTATGGTAACAAAAGATGTGCCATACGATAAAGACATCTTAAGTTATCATAAGCGTTTATTGAAAGCACAAAAATGGGCAGAAAGTAATAGAAATGGAGACTGGCATTTTATTAAAAATCCTACTCTATTGTGGAGAATACAACAGAATTTGAATAATAAATTGAAGTCAGTACTGCCTACATTTATAGTGCGGCAACTTAATATTTAATTACAATTTTTTAACTTTCTCTTAATTTTAAATCTTAATGTGAATAAAGCTAATATATGTTTTTGTAATATATTAAAAATATTTATTGTAGTAGTAAATAGACAGTAGTACTTAAAAATATGTATAATATGTACTTAAAAATTTTGAATTATTTCTGGAGAAGCAATTATGGAAATAAAAGACAATTTTAAAAAGGAGAAATTTATTTTTGTACCAATTGTACAACCTTTTACCAAATTCTATATAAAATTAAGAATATTGTTTCATATCATTATATTCAAAATTAATCTGTATGTGTAATACCCAGCCGAACTGTAAAATATATATCTGCAAACAATCTTATTTTCGTACACATATTGTGTATATTTGTACACACTAAGTAGAAAAATACATACAAAAATAGAAATTAAAAATTTAATGGAAGATGCACACATTCTATCTTTATAATCACAGAAAACAAATTTTGTGACAAATTCAATTAATTAAATTTTACAAACAAATGTGATCTCTAATATAAATTATTTTATTTATAGAACGATCACTTTAATAATCTTACTATACAGTTTTCTCTGGAATGTTAATTAATATTAAAAGAATATAAACATCTATAACAAAATGGATTTTCTTCTTTTTGGACCTCATCTTCATTATACAACTAAATAAAATTATAATTTATATACGTACATATGCATATATTAATGTATATGCATGTGTTTGTATTAAATATTATATCAATATATATATCGTAATATTGAATGTTTTACAAAAACAACACCATTCTCAATCTTATGTACAGATCCGAATCACTAATATTTTTTCTGGTTATATCAATATTAATGTATAATAAAATGAAAAAAATGCTTTTTAAATATCATATGTTCGAGAACATTGTTTAAAGAATATAAATAAGAACTAAATCCTATCAAAGTAAAACAATGAAATTCATACGAAATTTCATAAAGTCTAACAAATAAATCAATATGTTTGAAATATGTAGAACTTTAACATGGAATAAAGTAATATAGTGAATTTGGATTGACAACTTGTTCACACTGGTTTACTTTTTAGTCTTCATTTTCTTTTACAGGTTTAGATTTTATAGACTGAGTATCTTTCTTAACGGAATCGTCAGACTTTGTTTTTGGTCTTGCATCATTAATTTGTTTTGATGTTTCAGATTTAACCTGTGATTTAAATTTATCCTTCTTAATTTCCGTTGGATTATCTTTCTCAGTTTTCTTTAAATTATCTTTTTTAACTTCTTTTGTTGATGCTTTAGGTAATGATGTCGGTTTTGAAGTAGTAGTTGTACTGGTAGTGGTAGATTGTGATGTAGGCTTAGATGTTATTGTATCTGAGTTTACTTCTTGCTTTGTTTGTGCTTTGATAGTTGATTTTGAAGACGGTTTTGTAGTATCTTGTTTAATAGTTGATTTCATAGGTTTTGCTTCTACTTTAACATTTGGTGTTGCTGAAACTGTTAAAAGTGGTTCTTTCTGTTTTTGTTCCTTTTCAGCAGAAGATTTTGTATTAATTGTTAAATCTGGAAATGCTTGCTTTAATGAAATCCTCATAATATTATCATTCCAAGGAGAACCAAGCCATAAATATCCATTATTTATGTGAGCGCTAGAAATACTACTAACATCGCCATTTTCCGAATATAAAATATTCAAAATTTTTCCGGTTTTATCCAATCTAAGTATCAGTGAATCAGTTTTCAATATTAAATATTTTCCAACTTCAAACGAACCTATCGTATGTAAAACTCTTTCTGAATAATAATTTGGATAAATATCTTGCAATAATTTAAATGGACCTTCTATTGAATAAATTAGTCTTGATATCATCTTTCGTATGTATGGATGTGGTATAAAAGATAAAGGTAAAGTAGGATATTCAGAATCTACAGGAGAGAAAAGAGATGCTAAAAATCCTCCTTGTCCATCACTGTGTATATTATCACATAGACCAGGTAAACCTTCTATAAAGATTTCTTGTTGTCCAGCTTTTGGACCTTTCAGGTTATATTTTAGAATTTTTAAGTTAAGAGTGCTTCCTACAATTACAAAGCTTTCATCATCACTTAATAAGACACCATTTGGAAATCCTAAATTTTTTATTAACACTTCATTTTTTTTTGTTGCTGCATTGTATCTAATAAGCCTATAAAGAAATATTTACATGTAGAAACAAATATTGTACTTTAAATAAATTTACCTAGTTATATTTACCTTCCTGATGGATTAGCAAAGAATGAATACATTCCATCATGAAGATAAAAATCTGTAGATGAATCTGTCCAATAAATATCTCCATTCTTTGCAATATCCAATGAATTAAAGATTTTTGCAGTCTTTCCATCAATAGGTTCAGAACTATTGACTATATTTACATATTGTCGTGTGTTAACATTCACTTTAAAAATACCATAGTAAGCATCAGCTACAAACAATTCTCCATTATCATTAAACTTCAAACCCAAGGGTCTACCACATTTCTCTTCCTGCCACAAACCATCTGTAAATATCATTTTTGCTCAGCATTGTACAAATATTTTAGTAGTAACTTCATGGCAAATCTTCTTGTAAAAATATAATTTTATTGTTTGTATTATTAAACTACTAAATTTGTTACTTGCTTTGTATGTAAATACAATATATATATATACTAAAAATTCACTCAAAAAAGAAAGTAGTAACAATTTTTTTAATGTAAATAAAATGCAAGTATCTTGTAATAATTATTATGACATACCGCATTTTTGTCCAAATTTTACAATCGGTTTAATTCGATTTTCTTCAATTTTCACAACATAACCCCCACGTATGCCAGTGTATATTTCTCCGTTGAACGATGCAAAATCTTCTGGACCTTTAATCTCTCCTGAGAATAATATTTCAGGTTCTTGTAATCGAGTTTTCGTTTCGTATTTCAGTTGCACATCCGAAGGGAACTTTATGCTTTAAATAAACGTAATAAAAAATCACAGTTTATTTTATGTATTTGACAATTGCATTATTGTGAAATAAATGTCGTACCTATATTCGGAATATTCTGCTTCTGGAGGTAAACCCGGCAAAAAGGTAATGACAGCTAAGAAAAAACTAATATATATTATCACGGTACCAATAGACTTTATGTACCCCATTATTTAAACAATTGGCTGTGAACAACTTGAAAATATGATATACTACTCTCCAGTAACACCAGACTTTCTTCTAACGTTTCTTCATTGCAGTACCAGTTTTACTGAGAAAGAAGAATCACTATCTTTACGTAACTGTTTCTGCCACTGGCAGATAACGGCATTCGCAATTTTAATGGCGGTGTGTACTGCAAATTATGCATCTTTGGTAATGTCAGCAAAAGTAGGATCAAATAAATGCCACGCGTACGGAAGGTACTTAACAATTTCCGTTGATCACATGATTTTTTTCATCGCCAACTCAGCAACTTCTGATAATTATTATATCTTTTTTTATCAACTTATTAAGCGATTAACTTTAAATTTGAATATTTTGTTATACACTACGTCTTTGACTTTCAGCGCAATAAACTTTGAATTAATTACATATATTTATACATGATGTATTAATACTTTATATAACTTTTTTTATGTATATTAATATATATCTATATTACATTATGTATTTTTTATGTATATTAATATATTTATACAACATAATGTATTAATATCTTATGTAATTTTTTTTATGTATATTAAAAGAGCTACATATTCTCCGATTTTTTTTACACAGATAATTATATTCGTATCTCTTTATTATATTGGATAATAGCATGTTTATTATACTCATATCTTAATAGAAATGTTAATTTTATTCATATTTTAATGGAATGTTTGTAGTTAAAAAACTGCATTTTTCAAATATTATAATTTATTTAAAAGCATTCTATTGCTATTTATTAAAATTATCATACACATGTCCAAACATATATTAAGTAAATGCTTATTTAAATCGAATTTAAAAATAAAAAACTTAAAAATGAATGTAACACGAATACATGTAATTACATACATTTATCATTCGAAAAGTATTTTATGTATCAAAAGATAAATCAAGGATAATAAAATTAGCGTGTATAACAAAATTATAAATTACAAATTCATCGAATAAATCGAATTAATTTAAATTATTGTTTAAATTTTTTGGAACATAAACTTACGATTACTTACTACTTGATGGCGCTGGAAGTATTAATGCACACCAACACAAGTTCGCTTATTCTGAATCAATTTGAACGATGTTTTCCCTTTAAATTATTACAAAATAACATCATTTTAAATTGAAATACGTTATCAATAATGGGTAAGTGTAATAAGATTAATAAATACAATATAGGATAAAGTTAAAGCAAATAAAAATTATGCTCAACCTTTATTTTTTAGACGATATCGAGCAACAATGCGAAGACGCAGTTTTTGTATTATGCGATGCCCGAGAACGATATCCATTACGATGTGCCGATGAATTTCAAAAATCCATCAAATTGAAAAATGAGATAAATGTTAATAAATATTTGAATATCAATATATAAATTTATTCGCTATACTTATTTTTTCTGTTGCAAACATTGATTTAAGTTCTATATATCTGATTATTTAAAAAAAACATTATTGCAACGTTGAAATATATTTTCTTTTGCAGATGCTGAAGATATTTCAAAGATCAACTGTAATGAATGAATTACCGATTTTGGAGCAAACTGAACGTTTGAATCTTGAATTTAATGAAAATGAAATGTGTTTTGATCATTTAGATTCCAAGTTACAAAATATTATAAATAAATTGGATAATTTAAAAGCTGTTGTGGAACAAATTGAACGAGAAAAAACATGTTGGATCAATAAGTTATTAGAAAGTTGAACTTATATGATATTAATAAATTGTTCTAGATAGAGTGTCATATACATTTATTCATAATTCACATTGAATAAAATACATGTATAAAAAATTCTAAATACTGCTACTGAATCTATAAATAAAAAATTGCAGATGATATTTCTAATGTTAAGGATAAACTTTTTACTACTGAACTACGAACATTTATTTACATTTATACGCGTTACAACAACCTTGGCACCTCTTGTAATATCTTGAAAAAATTTAAGCATTTGTATATGCACTTCACCATTATTAGTATAATTCAATGATTTTCTTCTAGATCTTAAGTACTTTTGATTTGTTAAATTTTCTTTTTTCAAATATGAAAGGTTTTTATAAAATTCTTGTGTAATGTTCTTTAGTTTAGTCGAAGATAATACTGGTTTGTCGATACAATCATCTTGTTTTTGCAATTTTTCCTCTGTTAGTTTTATGACTTCTTGAGAACTCATATTACAACATTTCTCTTCTGTGTTTAATGTACTTTCATTACACGTTTTTTTATCATCTCTTAATGTTAATATATTATCTAAAATTTGATTTCCTAATTGTGCATTAGAAGCATTATTTTCATTTTGACACGCTTGTGTTTTGCAAACCTCAATATTATCTGTATTTATCTCATTTTTATCATTTAAGAGATTATGTTTTGTTGATAATTTATTTCTGAGTATTTTCTGTAGTGGCAAAGGCATTTCGTTTAGAGTAATAATTTGATTTGAAATAATTACTGGAACATTTGATTTATACTTGTTTGCACCATTAAATTTAGATTCACATATTGTATCTTTATGCAATTTTTGTGTTTCATCTATAAAGAACTTTGTAGATATTGAATTATGATTTGAACTTCTTGAGTATCTTTTAAAATGTAAACTGTTATTAAAATTAGGCTTAAGTTCATTCTTGCCTATTTCAAATTTTATTAAATTTTCATTATCAATATCATCCATTAATAAATCTTTGTTTGGCATAGATTTTAATTCATCTTTAAACTCAAAAGATAGTGTAGATGTTCCATTTTGTAATGCTTCTGGTACTATATCTTCGTCTTGGTCTTCTTCATCTTCATCGTCATCGCCTTTTTTTTCTTCTTCATACTTCAAATATTTATTTTTTATAACTTTTATACGCTTTCCACATTTATCATGTATGTCAGAATAGCGACGTTTATTTGTAATACTTAAGCTATTATTATTATTTGTATAACTAGTACTAGCTGAAATAGAATTATTAAAAGAGTATTTTAATCCAGATGTAAAGTTTTTTTCTTTAATTTCATTATTTCTTAAGGGATGTTTCACATTATTAAATAAGGATTTACTCATAGACTGATTTTCTAAAGTAGATTTTTGACTAATTACGTTCCGATGTTCACTTTTAAATTCGTTTCTTTTTGGTAATTTAATCATCGTTACTAAATTTTCTAAGCCAAGTAAACTAGAATTTCGCAAACACTTTTCACCTTCCTTTGTCTCAATTTTTTCTGAATTTTCTAATACTTCATCTACCTCCAATTTAGTTTTTTGTTCTATAACTGCTATAGCATCTTGACCCTGACGAATTGTGAACATTAAACCTTCCATTACTAAATCCGTAATATCAGAAGATCGTGGTACTTCTAACGTATTCTTTTTTTTCTTAGAACAAGGTGGATCTTCTATTTTGGTAATTTCTATATTATTTGTAGCATCTTTCTCATTTATTTCTTCTAATGTATTCTGCTTTGCATCTTCTATCTCTTTTTCTATCAAATACTGATATGGTAAATTGACAGAATCTGTATTAGCATCATCATTAATACTGTTATCATTTAACATTTTACTATTATTCGATATCGAATTATTTTTATCCTTTTCAATATTATATTTATTAATATCTATCCTGTCGTCTGATAATTGATGTCTAATACCTTGATTCTGTACACAGTTAATGCTTTGTTCCATTTTATCATTTAACTCTTTACTATGTTTAGGTGACATGTGTACTTTAAATGACATATTTGTATCTTTGCAAAATTTAAATTTATCTTCATTGTCATTTAATGATTGTTTCGCTGATTCTTTACTTAATGATAATTCTTTAAAATTCGTTTTCATATTTTTATTATTCAATTGAATACTTTTACTTTCATATTTTAAAATTTGTTCTTGCATATTATCACATTGTTTATTTGTCTTTGAATAATCAATTTTAGAAGAATGCAATAAACATTTTTCATTTTCTTGTTCAATTTTATTTTCAGATTTATGTGTGTTATTTGAATTTTCATTTCGATAGATTAGAGAATGATCTTGAGAAAATGTATTGTCTGAATTCTGTTTGGGATTAACCACTTTTATAGTTAATATAAATGCGTGAGAAAATGCTATAACTGATCGTTCTTTAAACTTCAACATTGCAAATATTTTATCTTGTCTAGTCCATGATGTATGATCTATAATAATAATAGTTAAGGAAGTTTCAATAATAAATACAAAATATTTAATATAATCAACAAGTTAAAAATTATATTTACAGTACATTAAGAAAAGGATTATTACTCATAGTGAGTACTTACGGAAAGTGACTACAAGATGATTTGTACCAAATTGTTGATTTTGGGGAGGTTGATCTTTTATAATTCTTCTAATAATTTTCATTAATTCTCTTCCAAAATTAAAATGCTTTATATTTCTGCAATATATTAGAAGTCTATTATCTTACTAATACTTTGCTATTAGTAATATTTACCTGCTTGTACGGTGATATCTAAAAATAAATTTATATATCTTGGTTTTATGACATAACCAGTATGAACCGGGTACTATTAAAGCTGGATTTTCTTCCTTTTGGGTCCAATCAATCCAGCTAGCTTTTCGTACATATATTCCAGGCATTTTCTTTCAGGTATTAGGTTTTGAAATAAAGGAACCAGTTTTATAGAATCTTTCCCATTAACTGAGTCTTTTATTATTATCGTAAGATAATATAATACTTTTTGCTGAAAACATATATTTATTTAAATAACATATTTTTAAAAGTTATTACACTATATTATGAATTTTCAATATTTACTCCTGTTATAACTTCATTAATAAATACATCTATCACTGTATCCCAAGGAATAAATTCACATAAACTAGGACCATAAAATATTCTTTGTCCTTCAGTATATATACCAACAAATTCTACTACTGTTAATGTAACTGTAAATAAAATGTAGAAATTAAAAAGAAAATTAAAAGCTTATAATAATTACAATTAGTTAACAAACCTTTATTTACAGAGGTGACAAAGCAGATAATTTGTAGTATTAATACTAATGTACATGAAATAAATGGTATGAAAATGTTAAATGCTTTCCATAAAACTGCTGTTGTAAATAGCAAAAGGAAAGTTATATTCACATTTAAATGTATGTTTTTATGTAAAACAAATTTCATAACATTCCTGGCCTTTGTACTTTTATCAATAAGCTTCAATTTACTTCCATTTATAGATCGGAAAACCAATTCAATTGAAGATACATCTTTAGGAAATATAGGTAACATTAATGAAAATTCTTAACTTTATTCTTAACACCAGAAACTTGATTGACGATCTTTTTCTATAAAAAAAAAAAGAATATTTAAGTTGCAACATTTTATAACAAACATTGTAATATATAAAAAATAACCTTACTAATGAAAAATTTTTTATAATAAGAATATAGCAATACAATTAGGTACACATGTTCATGTAATTAGTGAGAGAAATATAGAAATATAGAGAGAAAAATAGTATCTGATATTTATAAATAAAAATCACATAACAAAATAATATAACAAATAAATAATACAAATTTATTTGCACAAAGCTATATGTGAAAATGTTTCTGGACAGTTTGTGTGTATATGGTTAATTTAGATAATAAAAATTCAAATCTTTATTTCAATTAAGAAACGAGTCTTAAGTTGATGACCAAAACTGACGTTTCAAAACAAACTAAGAAGTCGATATGATATACAATGTAGACTTCGTTCTTACAAACACACATAAGACTAGTCTTACATTTTTACTTCAGAAAACAAAAAAATAAAACAGAAATATTGTGAACTGAATGTATAAATACAACCAGACGACACATACATAGTTAATAACAATTTATCTGACTGTTTGACTTAAGGACATACTCGTACACATTAAAAAACAGACTTGAGTAACTTACATTATCATATGTCCAACACTTCGCTGTAGAAATATTTATTTCCTTCGTGTCAGAAAGACGATTTATTATAAAGAACTTAGGAGGATATTTTTTTGATATTTAAATGACAAGCAATTTTCTTTGAGTGCATGCACATATGTAAGCACTTTCACATAAATGTTTCAGAGCATTTCAAACTAGCAGTAATATGAAAACACGTCCTAAGGCCGTGATTTCAGACACACGTACACTAAATATGAATATTGAAAACAGAGTATCCGATATTGTATTGATGTCTAGTTGAAAAATATATCGATGCGTTGGTGTACATTTCCATAAAATTTCTACATAATATAATGCTAATATTTATTCGTAATATCACAATTTCCAAAGCGTAGACGGAACAGGGTACGACGATTAGAGAATAAAAGGAGAGAAAAAGAAAAAGGGAGAAAAGTGAAGAAAAGGCCCCGAGAGAGATAAGAAGTGCGCAGACGTGGTTCCGTGCTAGAATCGCTCCTGTCCCGTCAAATAGGAGGAGTGAAACAGCACCTGCTGCCATTCTGGCATTACGTCAATGGTAGACATTTCATTTGCTGGTTGGGAGGAGTTACTCTGACCGCCATTGTTACAGCTTCGTTCGTGTCGGAGAACGTGATCTGTGAATTTTCGTCGTCGCATCATCGATTCCAACGAGTCGTGTCTATTCTCTAGATTCGCGCAACGACGGTACGCGATATTAGTGAGCGTGTTCTAAGCGTAGCATGTCCACAATGAATCCGGAATAGTGAGTAAACTTTCTTTTGCGCAGACATAATTATGTCTAGGATACGTTTATTTCTTGAAACGTACAGTCAATTATTTATACCTGTAACAACGACCGAGAACCGAAGAGACCAGCTTGATATTACTTGTGCGTTGTTTGGCCACGCTATTGCGGAAAAATTTTATTTAACGCTCGCTGTCTGACAGATCCATCCTCCCCTCTTTTCTTTCTCCCTTGCTACCTATGTTCATGAGCCATATTTTAGAAATTCCTTTTCTTCGATCTTTGCTCAAATTTGTCGAGAAAATACGTTGCCCGACTTGTTTCAGACTCGAATATTCGTAGGCGAATATTTCTGGGGGGAATGTTTGAAAATAATTCCGAAGATTTGTCTTGTGAAATATTATAAAAAAACACAAGGCAGAGTTCATTGTTATTGTGAATGTTTCATTAGATTGCAACGCGAAAGTAATATAGGCAACAGTATATATTGTAATTATCATAAAATTACACGAAATATATATTTAACAAAAAAAAAACAATATTAAAATAAAATTTTGTAAGATTTTAAAGGAAAGAGATTTATATGTGTCGTTTAAGTAGTTTATATCAGTTGATTTTAATTATCATAAATTTTGTTTAGTAAACAATATATATCCATATAATGATCGACAACATATTTTGTTTATTTCTTTAAACTTATGCTGATTCATAGACATTGGTAAAAATGAATCTTGAAATAAATTAATTAATTAAAATTATAAATCGTAAGGTACAAAGTTGGATTAGATAATAATTTATGTTTTTACTATGATATAATTCAACTATATTCATTGTATAATATATTTTTGCAGTGATTATTTGTTTAAGTTACTTTTAATTGGAGATTCTGGAGTTGGAAAATCATGTCTTTTACTCCGCTTTGCTGATGACACATACACAGAAAGTTATATCAGTACTATTGGTGTAGATTTCAAAATACGAACAATTGATCTAGATGGAAAAACAATAAAATTACAAATCTGGGATACAGCAGGTCAAGAACGATTTAGAACAATTACAAGTTCTTATTATAGAGGTGCACACGGTATTATTGTTGTTTATGACTGCACAGATCAGGAAACATTTAATAATGTTAAACAGTGGCTAGAAGAGATTGATCGTTACGCATGCGATAATGTGAATAAGCTGCTAGTCGGCAATAAATGTGATCTTCATACTAAAAAAGTTGTTGATTACACAACAGCAAAAGTAAGGAAACTGTACGAACGAACGTATTAATGTTTGCATATTATTACATATCAATTGCATATTAATTTTTTATATAACTTTATAAATAGGAATATGCAGATCAACTTGGTATACCATTTTTGGAAACATCTGCTAAGAATGCAATGAATGTAGAACAAGCCTTTATGACAATGGCTGCAGAAATAAAACTTAGAGTGGGTCCTCCATCAAGTGGCAATAGTGATCCTGCAAATAATGTGAGAATAGAACATGGACGTCCAATTGAATCCTCTAAATCCGGGTGCTGCTGAGAAATGTAATTTTACGATCTTGTAACCAAAGTAAGCTTTTTTATATTAATAAATATTGTGAATTATGTAACTACAAATAATAATTCCAATATAAAAGACCAATCTTTGTACATTGATATTTAATTACAGAAGGACATCTTATGGTAGCAGTTTTATACTGCCTTTAAAATTATTACCAGAAGAAACAAGAAAGATTTGTGGAAGTTTCAGTTTAATAAAAAAAAAAAAAAAAAAAAATCGAGATGTGAAACATTATTAATCACGGACCACCAACTCTGTTACAGAGTTGAATAAAACAACTTCTGTTCTATCGTTTTCTTATTCAAGAAAGGAGAACATAATTATTCATTTGCTGATTATCTAGTGCAAAAATTGACCATAGGGAAATTCATCAGAACAGCATTGAAAATCATTGATGCGTTTAACAGCAATTCGAATTTATAAAGTAAATTACATAATACTATGTATCGTGGTTATTAAAGATAAGCATTCTTATTTTTTAGCGTAATTGTAACATGTATAATTGAATGTTTTTTTGTCTTAGAAGGAAGTCATTCTTAATCTTTGTACTACCCAAACATTTTTCCACATTTTATTCCAAACAAGAATTAGAGTAATAACATACTGAAATCATCGTTGCTGCCTCCCTCTTTTTTTCAGTGCTCATTAGTGTAATTTAATAACAATATATTAATAAATATTTCAACACTAATACAAAAAATGGTAAATAGTATACCTATACGTACAAGAATAATTAAATATGTTACAGATAATAATTAAATATGTTCCAGTTGGTAACTTCTATAAAGTTACGTAAATTTTTTAAACATGTGCTACTTATAAAATTTATAAAACTATTCGCCTACTATAAATATATCATATCGTTTGTAAAATGTTGCTTGACAAATTCGATATGTTTTATCCCATATCTAAACAATAAGCTTATATTTATAAAGCTGTGTGTTTCATACGAGTTTGTAAGAAGAAAATTTTGGCTACAATACTATTTCTCTTTTATATGGGTTACTTATTATTCAAGATATCTAGTTGACGTTATTTTATATCACATATATGTTGTTTCAATTGTTTTTGCTTTCCTATAATGAGAATCATTGAATGAATCAGGTTATTTTAATAAAATTTTATTCTATGCAATAATAATACCAAAAACTACTTTGTATAATATATATTATTCTAATTTTTATTAAAAAAAAGAAAAAAAAAGGAGAAAAGACATATTTTGTACAAATCTCATGTTACGATTGCAAATGATCTTACTTTTGTATTGTATTCTTAAAAAACTGTTTTTATGGAAACAAAATAAGAATATCTAAGAATGACGTGAAATTTCCTTTATTATAATAATATTAGTTTATTACGTGAATTAGTTGATAAGAATGTATGAAGTTCTTCACAAGAAGAACGTATGTAACAAGTAAATGTATGATTATAGAAAATAAATTTCGTGTGTAAGTTAAGAATTAATTATTTTTGTTTTGTAATACTGTATGTAATATTAATATGTTAACTCTGCATATTATATGAAATAGCATTTGAAATATTTAAAGATATTTAATTTGATACATATACGTTCTTCTTTAGTATAGTTCATGTAAGATAGAAAAGAACGATGTACGTCGAAGCTGTTCAATAATCGAAAAATGAAATGTTTTTTTGTAGTACTTATAGATTTTAATAAACGGTCAACAACAATTTTTCATTAAAAATTATATATTTTTTATCATTTTTATTAATATCTTATCAATAAGATCGATATTTGTATATAACAATAAAATCATAACCTTACTTTCATACTAGTGACAAAGTGAAACTTCGTCAAAATGATGCAACAGTATATGAAAGAATTAGAACAAGTAAATTATTAAAAATTAATCAATATAATAAATTCGAATTGTCATTTATTCATAAAACATTAATAATCGCATCTTTTTAATACCTCTTTCAGGATCCATTTGATCCTGAAGAATTTGTTGAAAGACTTGCTTGGAGAACAGTTAATGATACGACAAAGGATGATGGAAAAACGTTTTTTGATCCGACGATAGTGCATGAAACTTTCTTACAAGCGATTAAAGATTTACAAATTTTACAGGAACGTCAACAAAAGAAATGCGACAAACTTGAGGCAGCATTAAAAGATGAAGAAGCAAGGCATATACTAGAAATATTTGAATTGCAAGAAAGAAACAAACATTCTATTGATCTATTTCATCAGTTAGATGAAAGAATAAATCTTGTAGCTACCAAGGTTTTACACTTAGGAGATCAATTGGAAAGTGTTAATACTCCGAGAGCTAGAACTGTTGAAGCTCAGAAATTAATGAAACATTTTTCAGAATTTTTAAGTCCCGGACCTTTGACAGACCCGATTTTTACAGATAAATCTTCGGTATTAATATTTCTTTCATGAATCTAATATTTACTATTACTTTAATATTTACAATTGTATATGAAGCAAGAATTAAGATTCTTTATTTTGTAATAGCTAGATGAGGCAGCAGATGTTATACAGAAACTTCATCTTATTTCACAAGAATTACCATCTGAGAAATTTGAACATGCTAAGAAAAAAATTGCAGTTAAGTACGACGAAATTGAAAGAAATCTCATAGAAGAATTTGTTAGAGCACATAATAGGGAAGATGCTACTCGTATGAGAGAGCTAGCGTCGGTGTTAGCTCATTTTAAAGGATATTCTCAATGTATTGATGCATTTATAGAGCAAAGCCAAATGGGCTCGTTTGGAAAGGACGTTTTCCAAGATGTAATACCTATGTGTACAAAATATCATAAATTAATGCAGCAAGTATTTACAAATCCTGAACAGGTGATGGCAAAATTTGTGCTAAATATTTACCACTTAAGACTTCAAAAATATGCAGTTGCTAAATTAGCAGATAAAACTGATCCTGAAAAATACCTTAAAAATTTATATGATTTATATACAAGAACTGTGAAATTGTCTACAGAATTGAAAATGTTTAATATGGGTACTGATGATACATATCTTGCCAAACTTACTAGAAATATATTTCAGAAATATCTGGATACTTATATCATGTAAGTTTATATAATAATAGGAAATACATCGATGATATTTAAATATCAATATAATATTTTTAGCATGGAAACTAAAGTATTGAGGGAAAAATCAGCAGCTCTTCTTATTGAATATTACGAATCTAAAAATCATCAAAAAAAACAATTACAAAGTGGCGGATTTCAAGAATTAAGAAGAGATTTACAAGCAGTTTTAGGTGCAAGGACTAATATAAATATCGCGCAAATAGAAAATTATGGTGGTGAGACTTTTTTGTCAGAAGAACTTGCAATTGCTTTGTTACAAAGAAGTAAATTGGCGTTTCAAAGATGTCAATTATTATCGAAACCTGATGATATACCGATAAATACAATTCAGATTTTGGAGATACTATTACAATATTTAATAAGTGAACACGTTGATTATGCATTAGAATTGGGTTTACAAAGTGTACCAATTCCTGAAAGCAGAACTCAACCTGAGATATATTTTTTCAATGTTGTACGTCAATGTAACGCAATTGTACGCTTATTAGAGGAACAATTTAATGACAGCGTGATACCTCTTGTTCTGTAAGATTTATTTCATTTATTTTTAAATATAATTTTATTTTGAAAATATATTTGAAATATAATCTTTTTAGGTCTACACCCAAGCACGGAGATTGTATGTTAAAGAAAAAGCTTGTGTTAGATCAAATTGACATGAAATTGGAGATGGGATTAGATAGAAGTATAAATGCTATTATCGGCTGGGTAAAAGTGTATCTACAAAACGAACAACGAAAAACTGATTTTAAACCTGAAACTGATGTAGATACTTTAAGCACTCCAGCTTGTTTAACAGTAGTACAATATGTTACTGGAATGATTCGACATATTCGGAGTACTTTAGATGGAAAAAATTTAAACACTGTTTTAACTGAGCTTGGAGTGCGATTTCATAAAATTATTTATGATCATTTACAACAGTTTCAATTTAATTCTGCAGGTGCTATGTGTGCAATATGCGATATGAACGAATATCGTAAATGCGTCAAGGAACTTGAAATTGACCTTGTTACTAATTTGTTTGACACTTTACATGCTTTATGCAATTTATTATTAGTTAAACCAGAAAATTTAAAACAAGTTTGTACAGGAGACCAATTGGTATGTTATGGTGATTTAATTATAATTATAATTATATTATGTTTAAATACTTGTTATATTAAATTGATTAAAAATAATTATTTCTTTTATTATTACAGGCAACGTTAGACCGTAATGTTCTAGTGAATTTCATACAATTAAGAACTGATTATAAAACACAAAAATTAGCAAATTGTTTAAAGGGTTTAGCCACATAATAAATTCGTAAAATGTGTGAATATTACCTTTATAATACCTTTGAAATATGTTATGTACAGTATTTAGGATATACAACCAAAATAATAACAAACTAGATCTTACTAAATGAAGATGTTGCTTTCATTGTAATAATAATAATGGCCAGTTGTACAAGATTCTTTATTATATAGTTAAACTATATAAAAGCAATGATTTCCTTATTTTTTAAGCTTTGATTATATATTAGAAGATAAATAATTTCTTGTTTTTTCTAAGTTTTATAATAAATATTAAGTAAATATTTGTAGCAAACATATTTATTTTATTGGTATGTAAGATTGTCATAAACAATTGCAGTATCTGCTATAAACATTTTTCTTATTTTAGAAAATGGTATGCATAATAACTGATTATAATATTTGTCAAATTTCTCTACCTGATTTTCATTGGGTTGTTTCTAATACAAATTGATATCATCTAATTATTTTGTTCAAAATTTTGTAATATATTTTGACATATTACATACCACTTCAATTAAAGCAGACTTTAATACATTATACTAAATTTTGTAATTGTATGATCTACAATATAGGAGAATACTTTTTTTTAATGTTTATGTGTACATAATTTTATTTTAGTTCTAAAATGATCATTTTTATTAAATCGAAGAATTTTATAATTAATAAATATTAATATTTAAAAAGAATTATTAAAATAAAATATTTTAATAACTAATGTCTATAAGAAGAATTAAAAAATAGAACATACTACACTGAAATTAATGTTAAATTAAATAAAAAAAGATTATTTGTCTTGCATTTATTTACATGCATGTTTCAAATATTATTTTTAAAAGTTGTGTTTTGAATTAAAATTTCTTTATAAAATTGATTCTTTACTGCAAGTGTAGAATACATGTTTATTTCCAAATTTATTAAATATTTAGTAATTAGTCACATTGTGGCAATTGGTAATTTTGAAAAATGTTGAGAGAACATATAAAATACAAAATTTTCATGTTATAAATAGAATTTATAATATAATTTCAAATAATGTTTAGCTATAAAATTTTTATGTATTTTATATAATTAACTTAATTGAATATTGAACTTAACACTTACTAGAAATTCTTAATATTCTATCAAAACATTACAAAAATTTTAAATGTCATATAAATTGTCATACTAGTAATATTAATAATATAAACGTTATATATGAAAATTAAATTATTAGAATTTTTTTTTAAAATGAATCCAACATGACTATTATTAATATCGAGCATAATTATAGACAGGTATTGATGAAAATGAATAGTACTAACAATAAGCTTCAATTTACTATTAAATTAACAAAATATAATATTATAAATTTTTTACTTGTCATACATAATATAAATGAGCAGTTTCAAATTATTTTATTGTTTAGAATATGATAATATGTATAGTCTACAGGCCATGAATTTGAAAAAAAGATCTGTTTTAAGAATACGGTACAAAAATGTGGTAAATAAAACATATATTGTTTTAAACAAACTGATGAACTTGTACAATATTAAATCAATAATGATTTAATAGTTCAAAATTATAAGTTACACATAAAACAGACAAAAATTTACAATATGCAATACAAAATGGTCACAGAGAAAAATAAAATTATGAAATTATTATAGTATTCATATTTCTAATACACACTTACATAAAGTAATGTCTTGTAAATGTACACTTGGGATTAAGTAATCAATCCTATTTTTCTTAATTGTAGGTCATCATATTGCAAACTCTTACTAGATTAACAAAGAATCTGGACGTTATGTTAACTCTTAAGCAGGAAGCCTCTAACTTTCTTATAATTAAAGGATAAAAACATTTAAATAATTCACATCATTCATTGTACCGTACTATTAAATTTCATTAAATCATCTAATATAATTCAGTGATAATTAAAGTCTTGATTTCTATTTGATTATAATGTTATGGATTGTGAAAATAAAAGGAAGAGGATGAATAATCTGATAGATATCAGCGCATACGATAAGTATTAGTTTCGTGTACTTGGCACAATTCTCCTTTGAAGTCCAGTTCAATGCTGAAATCCAGATCTCTGTAATTCCTTGCATTAGGCTTCATCGAAAATACACCGTATATTTCTTCTCCTTTTTTAACTGTCATATATTCGTCAAAGTAGAATACAGTTTGTTTCCAATGAGTATACTGTACTTCTGGTGCTGTACTGAAGCCTATACGTTTGTGGCACTTGGTGAATTCGATGTTGAAGAATGTAACTAGTGCTTGTACATAGTCGTTTCTACGAACTTGTAAAGTAAATGGCGATGAAAATTCCAGATCAGCCTTAGTTACCGTGTATAAATCAACTTCTTTGATGAGGCATGCATTTGTAACAACTTGTTTTGGGTCCACAACATCCACTAGAGGTTCACTAATTGCTACTTTTCTTATACTACTCATATCAAATCCATATACATCATCCCACCAATTTATCTTCTCGTCTTTATATTGTCTGTCTTCAATGCCGCAAATAAATAAAGTTGCTTTGTCAGGAAATAACATTCCATCTTCACGAAGCCATTTATCTCTAGCAAAAAGCACTGTATCTAACATTGATTCATAAAATAAACAATAACCCATCCATTCAGAAATAATTATATCAACTTTCTCAATGCCGTCAGGCAGTGAGACTTCTTCAACTTTTCCTTTAAGTATTGTTATGACATTCGACAATTGATTCGCTTCAACGATCTTCTCAGCATATTCGACGATATTAGAACACTCAATACCGATAACTCTAGCTGCTCCAGCTTTGGCAGCAAACATTGAAAGTATACCAGTTCCACATCCAATATCAAGAACGGTTTTTCCCTTGAAGAGGTGTTTGTTATGATACATAGAATTACGGTAAGTCACTGTACGCACTTCGTCCTTCAACATTTCTTCATGAATTCCGTAATGTGCATATGAGTCGAAATAATAATCTCTAGAAGTCATGTCATCCACAGAGATAGATTCTCTGCAGGATGACTGTGCCGCATCTTTGTTTGATGCAGTGATATTTTCTGTAACTTCCATGGATTCCATTTTTGATACCTATAATAACGCAAAATTAATATTAATAATGAAGTATACATATACGCACTAATATAAAACTACATATCGTAATATTAAATTCGATAAAAGAGCATTATCACTTAAAAAATTTATTTTTATATAATATTAAACCATTATTTTATCAAAGAGATCAAAAAAATGATTATGTTTAGTTAAAGTGTTAGTTAGTAGAAAATATTAATTTGTGTTAATTTATATGTATGTTTTGTATGTGTGTGTGTGGGCGTATGTATGTAAGAAAAGCCTACAATTTCTACAAACACGTGATACGATCTTATTTCAAACTAATATATATATAAAATTTCTTTTTCACTTAGATATATAGTAAAATTTAATTAATATTAAACATTAATTACAATGTTGTTCATCAGTAACACCTAAGATTTCGAGATGCTGAAATTGTCGAGAATATTCTCGTTCCGGCCGATACCAAAGAAACATACACACGTGCCCGCCAAAATGAATGGCGTCTGTTTAAGATCGAATGATCAGACGAGATTCTTTCACGCACACACGTATTTCTGTACGATCGTGTGACGAATAGTACATATATGCAGTCGGATACAGTCTTAAATTTCCTTCGAAAAATATCGTGATATGTGATTTCGAAACGAGTGAAAAATACTTCTTCGCGCACGTTTTCGTGATCGTGGGAAACTGAGATCGGGCCAATCAATTTGTTTTTAGGATACTTAATAGCAGCGAAATACTATGACAAACGACATTCAAACATATTCCTCTTTTAAAGGTTTATGAAATATTGCACGTTGTACGTAGCGATATTAATACATTAACAGCTACTATTACATTCTCTCTTCGGTTTTATGAAAATATTCAGCTTAAAACTTACTGAATTTCCTGCTGTGCACATGCCACTCTGGTTGATTTCTACCGGCACTTCATTACTTGACGCCATTTTGTTCCGCGTCACAGCAGACGACTACAGACAGGAACGTATTATAAAGGCACATGGCAAGCTCCAACCACGGTTCTGTCAACACAAATATTCGCCCCATCAACAAATTTTAATTACAGATTCTCTTGTCAATTTATTTTTCATACTTGACAATGACGTCCAGTCGGAACTGACACGGCAATTTAATTGATATTCTAGCCAAATTTCGTTGTCATTACGACAAATACAGATATAGACTGAAAACGACACATAGCAATATCTATATTTTATTTCCAAATTAATTACTACAGAAATTTTTCAAATGACAATATCAATGTATATTTAGTAGTAATTAATTTCATACGCAATATGTATAGACATATGTGTACATATTCATGCACACAAGGTGCAATATTACTATTATCATAACTATCGCGCGATATATAGTATCTCGTCCGATTTAAAAATAATTTCAAATGTTCGAGAGGCATGCGTCAAAAGACAGAAATTGCAAATTTAAGGTTTGCAAGATCTGTGCGTGATCGCATGGATCGTTTACAAACGATCGTTTCGTATACGTGACTCTCATAGTAGAATCGTATTTAATCTTTCAACAGATACAGAAATTATATAACCGTTCGCACAGTACGTCGTACGATCGTTTCATGAAAAATATCGATCTCGAATACGGTGTTTTCCCCTGCAAGTAAGTGTACTAGTGTTTCTGGCAGTCCGCGTGATACACACACGTGAAATTCAGCAGGAGAACTACACCAAACGATTCGCCGTTCGTACGAGGTCACTTTTCTCGTGAAACGACCCAACGGAGACGACCATCCAAAATCGCGATGTCGCGATGAACGTTGATACACCCCTGTCGTATGCGCAGTGTGACCCTTCTACTATTTCGATTTTTACCTCGAAACGGATATTCATTTGTCTCGAGAGGCTGTTGAAAAATCGTAACTCATTTACACGGTTCCGTGTACGACGGAATCGTGATTAACTTCACGACGGGAGGGTAACTTTAATTTTGTATCTTTGCTCAGTTGTTTTCAGAAAGTGCAAAGACATCATCCAATAGGAGTCGAGTGGGTAGCTGACAAGTTGCGTCGGGGTGGAAATGGGCAGGGAACAGGAGCTTGTACGCACTCGAGCCGTGAGGTATTGGTTTCGCGAACGGGGCCAGATTCTCTCGGTCAAGTGGATTTTTCATGTGTTATTACTTCCAACGGTATAATGTAAACTGTCGATTTTGATGTCACTCACGTGCCACTGTCTTAAGATTATTTATATGGAGATCGTGGAGCGCTAGAAGATGCTGGTAAGGAAAACAGGCGGGAGTAAAGTTGACGTAGAAACAAGTGCGCAAAGATTGTATAGTTGAGTTCCTTTTCTGTTTTTTTCCTTCTTTCTTTTTTTTTCTCTCTCTCTGCCGTGCGTACAGAGAAAGCAAAGATCTCGTGCTTTTGTTATGTAGTTTTCGCAGGTCGTTTACTTCGGACGAGTATTTCGCCTGAGATACCTTCGAGGTTACGACTATTACCCGATGTGTGAGAAATCGACAGGCTGTCATGAACGTAGCGGACTCCGTTTCGAAAACGTGATTAAGATATCAAAGTACGAGTTTCGTTTCAACCAGGAGAAATGTTGTCGTGCGAAAGTTCTTGTTTATCGTAGGATAATCGTAGGCATAGTCGTCGAATACCCGCGAGGCATGATTGCCTACATAAACAACAGCTCATCGTACAGGGCAGCTGACTTTCTGTCAATTTTCATACGTTTGTCGTTCAGTTTTTATCGTTGATAACAAGCCTTTATGATGTTTCGAAGGGGATTAGATGTCAGTTCTCGAGACCTAAGGAATAATAATAATTGATAAAAAATAGAAATCATTTCGTTAGTATTATGTTGATATCAATATTATGTAAATATAAAGTACAGACACGAAATGTGAATATTTCATTTCATACCCATCTTTCTACTTTAGATGAAGAATGAATGTACGACGACTATGAAAGTATGTCGTGAGTAGGAGTTATATTGAAGATGTTATAAATGTACATGTATTTTCTGTTACAGGGAGACGATCCACCGTATCTATCTGTGGGTACGGAGGTTAGCGCTAAATATAAGGGTGCCTTCTGTGAAGCAAAGATTCGGAAAGTAGTAAGATCGGTGAAATGCAGAGTAACGTATAAACAAGGTTTGGGTACAGCAACGGTAGCTGATGATCAAATAAAAGGGACTTTAAGAGTAGGAGCATCCGTTGAAGCTAAACACGGAGATAGAAAAGAATTTGTGGAAGCTACTATCACTAAAATTCAAGACTGCAGTCAATATACAGTAGTTTTTGATGATGGAGATATTACAACATTAAGGAGAACTGCGCTTTGTTTAAAGAGTGGAAGACATTTCGCAGAGAGTGAAACTTTGGACCAACTTCCTTTAACACATCCGGAACATTTTGGAAATCCAGTAATTGGAGGAAGAAGAGGACGGCGGTCTAGACAAGCACAGTGAGTGTGGAGCAGTAATATCAGCAGAACAAATTTGCGTTATCGCTTATAAAAATAATTGTTATAGAGATGAAAGTAGTGATGATGAAGATAGTCCTCCACGAGGAACTCGTGATTCAGGTTCTAGTGGAACAGGCAAAGAAGGAATGGAGACAGAACCTGAAATTGGACGAGTTGTATGTGTGGAGCTTGGAGATAAAAAGAAGAAAGATAATTGGTTCCCTGGATTAGTAGTCGCTCCAACTGCTCAAGATACAGTGAGAATTCGAGTGAGAGATGACTATCTTGTGCGCTCGTTTAAGGACGCACGTTAGTAAGTATATTCGTATGTAAATAAATTTTCCAAAAAATATGAAAAGAAAGCAGAAAAACTTATAACAACAAAATATTTCTTTCTATTCGTGTTTATTCTAAAGTCGGTAAATTTATTTTATTTGTTATATTTTAACATACTTTACGTATACTTTTAAACATTCTTATAGTTTTAATTAAACAATTGCATAAAAAAATATACAAAATTAATTATGTATTGATATTATGTTCTATTATATTGCTATATTATTTTTTGCACATTTAGTTATACAGTTCCAAAAAAAGAGGCCACCGAATTTACAAAAGAACTTGTCAACAAAGTTGAGAATAGCACATTGAAGGTTGCAGTAGAAAAGGCATTGCTATTTTTAGAAAAGAATGAATTACCTCCCCATTGGGATAGAGATTCTCTTTTTGGACATTCTGTATCAAGTGGAAACAGTGATTCTGATGGAGAACTTGATTCTGATGTAAGTATTCATTTTTAATTTCAGTTATTGTTCCTTTAATTTGTTATCCACATATGTTGTGCACGTAATTTATTTTACAGAGTTCTGATGATGAACCGCGTGAGGAAAAAGATCATTTCGTAGCACAATTATACAAGTTTATGGATGATCGTGGTACACCTATTAACAATTGTCCAATGATTGGATCTGAAGATATAGATTTATATAGGTTATTTCGAGCTGTTTATAAGTTGGGTGGCTATAATCGTGTAACAAATCAAAATCAATGGAAATTAATAACGCGTCGCCTGAGCTTTACGATGCAAAATTCACCATCTACGCACAATTTGGTTAAACAGGCCTATAAGAAATTCTTACACTCCTTTGAGGACTTCTATAGAAAATTAGGTTGTACCATGGTAAATCATCCAAGGGGTACTATACGCAAACAACGTCCTGGAAGAAGTCTAATCAGAGATAAAGATAGAAATACTCCTGTACCACCTCAAATATCTGTCACTAAAACTGAAAAGGAAGAAGAAGATAAAAAAATCATTGAAGAAGAAAAGAAAGAGAAAAAAGAAATCAAAAAAGAACAACCAGTAAAAGAAGAAGAAATTGTAAAGATAAAAAAGAAAGATGAATTTGAAGAAAGCGGTAGCGGACAAGACAGTGACGTGAATGTTGAGGCTGAAGCTGAATCTTCATCCAGTAGTGAAAAATCTCAAAAAATTTCGACGTCCTTATCATTACCAAATAGAAGCAAATCTAAAAATAAAGAAGATTCAAAGAAAAAAGTAATAGAAAAAAAGAAAGCTGAACCTAAAAGACAAGAGAAGAAAGATGATAAAATAAAAGAAGAGGATGCTGCTAAAACGAGATCTAAATCTAAAGATGATAATGTAAAAAGTAAAATATCTTCTGAAAATAGGGAAACACGAACTCCATCGAGAGAATCGGAAAGAAAGACTTTATCCAAACAAAGACGATTGATAGATGAGGATCTGAAGAAACGAGGGAGGAAACGAAAAGAGTTTGAAGCAGAGAAATCACGTACGGATGAACAGTCAGCAGATTCAGCTCCGTGTTACAAAGGTCCTGTGGAATTAGGAGATAGACTGAAAGTATATTATGGACCTACTCATGAATCTAAGGTTACTTATGAAGCAAAAGTTATTGATATGGAAAAAGATGGTACAGAACCAATGTATTTAGTACATTATACTGGATGGAATACGAGATACGATGAATGGATTAAATCATCAAGAATAGCACAGAATTTTACACAAGCTCAAGGTAGAATGAAACGAATTAAAGCTACTTCACGACCTCAAACTCCCAGTACGAATTTATCAAATAATATAAATAAGTCATCAAAAATTATTTCTAACACTAGTTCGAATACTTCGCAAAACCGACGTCGAGCACAAAGTGTTGCACCTACTACATCAGTTGTTTCGTCTTCTTCAACAAAAGAAGCCAAGAAAGAAGAGAAAGAAAAAGAAATATCTCAACCAGTTAGATCTACGACTCCATTATCTGTTATAAGTTCTAGCTCTAGGACGAAAAGTCCAGCGACACCGGCAAATAATCGTCAAACACGAACAAGAAATAATGATATGTCGAGTATAGAACACCGGAGGCGTACTAGAAGAACTTCTGGACACGCGGATATAGTTCCATCAGAAACTGAAGAAAGTGAGACATATGATTCAGATACTACGGAATCAGAACAAACACGAACGAAATCTAAGACTGTAGAGGAAAGAAAACGTAAAGAAGCGAGATATAGAGTAGAAGATAGAATGAAACCCGACGAAACTAGCGAGGGTGAAGAAGATAAAGATAATTTAGAAGAACCGCGTAGAGGTAGGAGATTAAGAAGGACAATCAGTAAATCGCAAGGTATAAAATCTGAACCAGACAGCGATGAAGAACAACCGAAAGGTCGAGATTTCGACTTGAATCAAATACGATCTGAATTAAAAGGTTTTGATAAAGCAGTAAAATTGGAACTTGTTAGGGTTGAACCAGATCCAGAAGACGAAATAAAAATAGAAGAGAAGGAAAATGTTTCAGTTTCACCAAAATTAGAGAAAAATTTAGAAGCATCGAAATTAGAAACAATGCCTGAATCTAAAATAATAGATAACACAGAAGATATATATGAATTTAAAGAACCAGAACCATTTGAATTTGAAGTACGAAACAAACGGGATACGAGCGGAGAAAAGGACAAAATAAAGAAGAGAGTATTTGAAGAAGAGCCAAAAAGTCCTAAGAAAAAGCAAAAAATAGTTGTATCACCAGTTATTAAAGAAGTTAAATCAGAAACAGATAATGATTCACGAAAGAAAGTAAAGAAATTATTTAGCAAAAGAACTGACGACATTACAGATAATTTACATTCTCACAAATCGTTACAATCTACATCATTAACAACATGCGAAGAAGCATTTGATAAGCTTTGTGAATCGCCACCATTCAATCAAATGAAATCTATACCTATTATTGAGGAGACAGGTAAAATAAATAATGGCATAGATCTTTTATTCAGTGATTTACCTGGAGATGATGATGCTACTCATGATGATTCAGAAGATCGTTTAATAATATCAGAGGCAGAAGTTTCGGAAGCGGAACAAGAAAATTTATTTACATATCAACAAGAAATGTTTCCTTCTAATGACGGAAATGATTTAATGGAATCAAATAAAGAAGATATAAGTTTACAAATTGAATCGGTAAGAGAAGATATAACGCTAACAGTCTCAAATAAACCTGACATAATTGTTGAGCAAAAACAAAATATTAAATCTCCATTGCATAGTCAATCTCCAGAATTAAAACCATTGGATTCAAAATTGTTAGATATTACTCCTGTTCCATCTCCAATTGTAACAGTTCCAGCACCGATTAGTGCGAGATTACCAGCTACATCTACAATTGAAGAAAAACTTTCAGCTGCAATGGCTTTTCGTAGTAAAACTAAAGATGTTAAAAAAGAAGATGAGACTCCCGAAGTTGTATGGAAAACATCAAAGGAAATTTCTAAGAAATTAGATGCTACAGTTGTACAAAAAAGTAAAGAAGATCAGCATGGGCCTAAGATTGAAAGTGAAAATAATAAACGAGAAGAGGAAGATATCGTAATAAGTAATGAAAACCAGTGTGAAGAAATAATGTGTGTAGTAATTAAACAAAAAGAAGAAGAACTTCAACAATTTAAACCAAAAAAAGAAGTAGAAATTAAAAAATTCGTTGAAACAAAAATAGAACATACAAAAATACAAGAAAAAGAAGAAGAGGAATGGAAACGTGTAGAAAATGAAAAATCAAAAAAGATAGAGGACGAATTTAAAGAACATGATTTCAAAGAAAAGGAAAATCACAAGAAGATAATTAATCAAGATATGGTAGATTCTGCAGATAGTAGTGATTCTGAACAGAGACTAGTAATTGATAATGAGGAGTCACAAGATGTGAAGAGTTCAACATCAAATTTTGATGTTAAATTAAGAGCAGAGTTGGATAGACTTCAGGACACGCAGGAAAGATATTCACAAACGCAGAAATCTATGCAGCCGCTAAAGCATCAGCAGCAAGAATGCGTTACTGAATTTAAAACTGAGATTAAAGAAATTCCTGTTACGAAAACAGATGAAGAGGGAGAAACAATTAATTCCTTGTTATGTGAAGAAGAAATACCTGGTTCACCAGCTCCTATTACCGAAAGTATAGAGCAAATAAATGCTGGTCCATCCTGTTCACCTCCAAAAGTTGAAACTGCAGAAAGTAATATAGTATTGATGGAAATGCCATTTGCAAGTGCTCCTACATCTGGTCAAAGTACAACCAGCAGTACTGTTGCTACTCTCAGCATGGCACTGCCCAAAACTATAGAAACATCTGTACCAGTTTCTTTATCTATGCAACAAAATCCAACTTTGAGCATGAGACAACAGTCTCATCATCAACATTTACCTGCGTTAATGCCTGCACAGAGAAGAGAAAGCAATGAAGCAGCACCTGTAATGGATAATACCCCTCCGACTACACCTGATTCAAGCATTTCCAATATTTCTGGCTCTCCAAGAGAAGAAAGAACAGGAGGTTCATCACCAACCTCAGAGGATAACATGAAACATAATCGTGATAGTTCTGAAGCGGATAATGATAGTGGTGGGAAAGGTCCAGGATTCAGTGAAGATGATACATTACCAAATGTTGAAGGAAATTCTACAGATAGAATATTAAAACCACCAGCAAAACGAACTATTGAAGAAACACAATCTCCCAAAAAACGTAAAAGAAACAGAAAGCATTCAGAGTGTGATAAAAATACTACTAAAAAGACAGGAAGACATAGTAATAGACATGGTAGACATGGTGGTGGAAGCGATAGTGACGATACGAGTGAAGGTTCTAATTTATGTGGAGTTAATTCGACTTCAGCAAATCACACAAATATTGCTAATGTTCCCGATCTTAGTAACTACTCATCGAGATCACCTCGGCCAACAAAATATAATTTCTATGTAGAATTAGGTAATAGATCGGATAGTATTTCTTTTAATTTTAATTTATTATCTGTAAAAAAAATATTGACGTTTTATTTTAATTGCAGATCCCGAATTAGATGGTAGTCAAAGGATAGCTGTACTACAGCAAAAATTAGCTGAATTACGTAAAACATATAATGCAGTGAAAGTTGAACTTGCCGCTATTGAAAGACGTAGAAAAAAGTTAAGAAGAAGAGAACGGGAAGGTAAATATATCTGAATGAAAAATTTTTACATAAAACTTGTTATATAAAAGATTTTATATAAAAAAATATTTGATTTTAGCCATAAAGGCAGCTAAAGCAGAAATGCAACAGGCTTGTTCGTGATGAGCTGCCTTGAAACATCCTAATTGACTCAGTTTGCACTAAGAAACTTTTATACAACACCCAGAGATAATAGTATCATTATATAGATACCTTGCAATTACAGCAGATTTCATGACAATTTTTATCTACCTAACATCGTTTGGGTAACTTTCCCCCCATTAATATAAATTGTAGATATAGCTATAAGATTTAGTATAAAAGAGAAACATTTACCAGAATGAATATATATATTCATATATGCTTTGTGTTGTACATTATTTTGACAAGAACGTAATGTGACAGTTAAAAATTTTTATTCTCGATTTGTCATTTCACCTGCTCAGATGCAAAGTACAAATTATCGAACTTGATGATCATTTTCATCGTTCATTCTTCTTTTTTAAGAAAAGGCTGAGAAAAATGTTACCGATAGCGTGTTATTGTAAAGACATCTTGGGAACAAATAATTGTCTAAGCCGTCTGTTATTTTCGTTTCGATATCTTATAGCACCGTTAGCGGTTGAGCTGTTTTCAAGACGATAAAATAAAGATGTCAAGTGTAACAACCATCACATACTTCCTAGGATAGAAAATTTTGTATATATTAGAAGTAGTAACGTTATGTTAGTGGTTCGCAATATACACATATACGTATTTACGTAAATAGAATTTTTAGCATCCTTGGGATCGAAATTACTTTTATTTACAGAATAAAAAGAAATATTGTAATTTAATGTGATTTTTAAAGTAGTAAGAAGATGATTATAAACATTGCGAAATGAACGAATGATTGTACATTGATATGTATGTGAGATATAGCATAATTTTTAACTTCTAAAAAATTAATTACTTTAATTTATGTACATAATTTACATAAATAGAATATCGTATTATATATAATTATTCTAAAATACAAAACATTAAAGTCTATTGTAATTAATAATCATATTCGTACTACCAAATTTCTTGGCAAAATGCATAGAATTGGATTTTCAACTATGCAATTGTCATGAATGCAGCTCAACAACATTTATCAATTTACAGCCTTTTGCATTATATTTGAAAAATTGCTGCCATTGTGCTTTAATCATCAGATAGGTATTAGACGTTCATCGTCGTGTATATCGTAATTGGTCAAAGATGCATTTATATTTCTATTTGAGCGTCAAAGTACTTCAGGTACTAAATTAAAAGAAAACAAAAAAAAATTAAATTTAAGAAACAAGTTGCAGAAAACAAAATCAAATACCCCTGAGTGGAATTAAATTTGTACGAAGACATGTTGGCTGAAAAAAGAATGAAATTTTATATAGATATATATTATATATTTTTTATAAAAAAATCAGTCGTGGACATGCTTTATAGTATCAGACAACATGATCATTCACTGATTGGGGAAAAAATGAAAGAAAATAAGCAGTTGAGCTCCATAAATCTTTGTACATATTTTACATTGTGTGTTGAAAACACTCATAAGCCAGGTTTTAATAGTTTATCGCACACAGATATAGCTATGCATATTATTGTATAATGGTTTCAGAAATCTTGCAGTAACATATGCTAAGTGTTTGTTTTAAGAAGTCAAGAGAATGTGTATCGACACTCAATCAAATAATACCTGCAATCAATTAATACCTACAGAAATATTTACATTTTATCAAATTGCGTCAAAATAAAGAACGTTTTATTTATATTTTGTCCTCTACTATTCCAGTAGAACTATATAAAAACATTTCATTTTGGATGTAATTTCTATCATATCTAGAATTAATAATGAAAATAGTTTAAGGTATTTAAATATAAAAGCATTGTAAAATATACATATAGAAATATACATATATGTGTATACACACATATTGTACAATTCAGTTTAATAAATTACAAAATAATTGACAGCAGAATTGTAAACAGTACTATTAAAATGTTAATATCAATAATTGTTATTTTTTTTGTTATGGAGAGCTTTTTCATCAAGCTTTTTTTAGGCATATTATACTTTTTTTTGGCAAATATATTATATACATAGATATATATAGAGTATAATATCACTTAATGGATCTCCTTTTATTTATAGGATAAATAAAATAATGAATGAGTTTCATGTTGTCCTAGACAGATCTTAAATACATGCATTTGTTATTTTATCATGATTTACTATTATTTTTATTGCACTTACATTTAGGCAATAATATTTATAAGAAAACGCTATTATACAGATTATCAGTCATTAATTTGAAAATATTGGCTACATATATAGATAAACTATTATATATATATATATATATATTTATACATATATATATATATATATATATTTATCACAGGTATAACAAATTTATATTGTCTTTTCTTATGCAATAATGATGACATTAAATAAAAAAGTAAAACAAAGTAAATATTTCTTAAATAATGTTAAATTTATAGTTTTACAATAATATTTGAGTGACGAACGCATCCTTGTCTTCTAAAAACAAATTTTCTCTTTGTAAATCATGAACTACATGTGAAATTATAAATATAGTAAGCACAATGTGGATTGTGTCGCCAACCAATAATATTGTTCCACATAACATTTAATTGTGTTAGCTGATATTGTTAAGAAATAAATCTTATCTTAATAAATTATAGTAATATCATTTGCCCTTATATCATTCTAATAAAGACTTTTGGTTTTTAAAAATATAAAATACTGTAATTAATTAAAATTATATATATTTAAAATTTTTTATAAATTATTTATTATATTGCAACTTAGAGGTAAACATTCAAATTTGATTAAACTCTGCGGAATAATATATGTTAATATAATATAATTATGCAAATATTCTTGTTATTATATTTTGTACTATATATATATATATATATATATAAACATATATATGTATATATATATATATATATATATGTAGATATATAAGTTGACATATTCAATAACAAAGAAAATATGATCAGTTTAATGTACATTAATATTGACGGTTTTGCGTATCTAATATATAATGCTAGTAAAAATTTTATCAACTAAATTTCTTATTTTTACATTCAATTCTCTAATATGACATCATTTAATATTCTAAGAAATTACTTTGATATATCTATCTACTTATTTTTGTACACCAACAGTATAGATCTGTTAAAAAAGTAATATTATCTTAGATTATTAAAAGATGTTTAAAAATTTCTGTTAATAAAAACAGAATACATAAAATAAAATATTAATTCAATAATCTGAACATTGTTAAATATGCCTAAAAATATTTATCAGAAATATCACTAATATAAACATATTTTTAACTTCATTATTGATCATCAGCAGTCAAGGAAAAATGTTCCAGTTTTTTTGAAGATATGAAATAGAAACAAATTATAATTATTTATATATTTTATATTATAATATCAATAAAAAACGTCTGTAATAACTGATGTAAAAAATGAGAAAGTTTATACAAAATGAAGCTTTTACATCGAAAACATCTATAAGATATTTCAAGAAGAAAATTTTCAAAAATAATTTTAATAAATTGTTGAACCAATTAATTATGTATATACGATTTTGTTTAACAAAAAATTTTGTTTCTCTAGTAATAAATTACTAAAATAACAATACTAATAAGATATAGAAAATGTTCAATAATATTGAGCGATAAAATCTGCTTTTAATTCTATATGTCAACATGGAGGTGGACTAGATGTTGGTGCAGTATCAACAGTTTGTGTAGAGGTTGATGCAACTGTTGATGATTTATTCTGTGTAGTTAACCTTCGTTTAGCTAATAAAAATTGTTCCATTAATTCATGATGAGCTTCTAGCCGCTCAATACAATGTAGACATGCGGTTTTAGGTAATGGATCATTCATGTTTACCTGCATGACAAAAAGGTAAAAAAATTTTTTTTATGTTTCAAAACTAGATACAAATATTAGCATCATGATACATTACACAATATGTTTGAAAAAATTGAAAACATTGATTAAATGCAGAACCAGACTCTTGAACAGTTGTTTAATTTTTCTCTCAGTTAATGTAAATTGTTATGATACATACTGATATTTAAGAAGATTTAAGAAAATTTGTAATGAAACAAATTAATTTTGTCGTTACGTTGTAAATAATTTTGCAATCTTTAAATTATTGTTGCGTTTAAGACAGAACTGTCAGATACGATTAAAACGTTCGCACAAGAAAAGCGAGGAAAGATGAAATCTTAACCAGTCGTATATAGAATACATAATGAAAGGCATAAAAATTTAACGTTGGCGAGAGACTAATTTTAGAAAGTACAAAAGCAGCAGATTATGACTTTACCGTAATTGGGAGATAAGCATTTATTTTTTCGGCAAGTTTCATTCTCTCACCCTCTTCGCCGTATATATGGATCACGAAACGATTCATCTTACTGCAAAGTCTGCATATAAAACCCGTGATCACAGCTTTATCCGTGCTACCCATTTCAATTATTTACTAATTTACTCTTGTTCGTATGGCACTTGTCGACACCCTACAATTCGATTCGCGCGTCAATAACTTCAGGTGAAAATTATTATTCTACAAAATCGCACAAGATGTTATGCTTCTTCCGAGATTGTTTATCATAGTTCTGAACAACTGGCGCTACCAGCACTGTATTCTACTGCTATTCTACTACTACTCTCATCAGAATTATACATAATAAAATAACTTGTAACATTTCTTTTTTCCCTGATATTACAAATTAAATGCACAATAAAAAATATACCTGAGTAAATGAAACTAAAAATAAACGAACAAATTATATCGTAATTACAGGTAGAAATTTTTACGTTAAAAATTTAACGATATTTTCAATTTATAATTAACAAAACATTACAGTGAAAGTCTCAAAGGTTATAGCTAAACCAAAAAAAATTAATGTATCTACTTTCTCTAAACTACATTTTTTATTCATTTTTTTTAACATTAATTACTTTCTAACGTTATAAAATGAATTTAATTATCTGTAAACAACATAAAAGTAATATTACTTCTTTTATTTTAAACAACTTAATATTGTTTTATAAATTGTTTTTATAAGACTCATTCGTCATTACCAGATCCGTAATATGTAAGATGATATTTATTATTTAACATTATTTTATTAATCGTGTATTTAATAAAATGGGCATATTACGAGTAAATCGTTAAACATAATTTTTTAATAAGATTTACATGTTTAGTAACAGCATAATTTATTAATATTAAATAAATTAAACATAAATTTAAATTTTTAAATAATAAAACTTATAAATCAAGTACATAAATAAATGAGAAATGAGATAAGATTTAAAATTTCATTTTATATATCGTTCTTGCAAATAAAAAAAAAACTTTTTAATTGATGTGTCTTATTAATGTTTAAAAGTACTGATGCGATCATTTTAAATATCACATTATTTCAATAAAATATGGCGGCGATCAGCTGTCTTCTGTCATAATGACATTCATATTGATAAGTAGAAAGTTAGAACTTTTTAGAAATTATCTGCGCAAAAGTATTTGTGAACTTTAGCGATAGAGCGAAATAGTTTTTCATTATCATATTATTGCCTATAGATATAGAAGATTTGAAAAAAAAACATAGGAACGTATTTATTGTTGCTCATCTGAAGTAAGCGGCAAGTGAACGCAGCTGTGTAAGAAAGCAATATGGTGACTAACGAATTAATCAAGTGTTGAGGATAATCAAGAATACAAATGTTTAATATTACCAACGTTTGCGATGGATGGTGGTAAAGTTGAGTGATGAACTTAACGTGATTAAAAGCCTTTTCTGAGGCTAAAGAAAAAAAATCATGTGTGATGTATGTGTTGACTTTCACGATCTTCTGCTCTCCTGTAAGTAAAATATGTACAATACCTTTCATGTTAACCTAGCGCACTGTGTTGCATGTTTGCAAATTTTTACTCCGCATTGCTAACTGATGTTTTAGTATAAATAATGTAGCAACAATTTGTTGTAAAAATCTTTGGGATTCATAATTATACTTACCATATTATACAATGAAAATCTCTTTGTAACAATATAATTTATAACCTTACTTGCTTATGTACGATTTTAAAATTTGTTAACTTCTATATGCTTCAGTGTCAAATGTACAATACAAGATAATAAAGTTTTTTAGTGTTGAAATATTTTCAGAAGTCGTAATTAAAGTATTAAAATTGTACGACATGTTGAACTATATGAAATGTTTGATATAACAGAGATTATAGTAACATTTGAATATTTTTATAGTTTGATTTTACTTGTGTATGCTATAGTAAATTTATTTAAATTTTCATATTGTTTGTTTTTTTTCTATAATTTATATCTAGATGATGAAAGATCATCGAAGGAACAAGATGGATTGGCAACACTTTGTATTTCGGATGTGGACACTATGTTACATTATGTTAATCAATGGGTACAAAGGTTTGATTTCATTTTTGCTTCTTATTACATGTAAATCAAACATTTGAATTAATATAATATTAAACATTTATTATATTAAGACTATATTTTAACTTGTATTTTAATATAATTTGTTGTCTTTCATTTTTATAGACAATGCATGTGCTGTTATCGAGAAATAAAAAATTTTGATCGATTTATAAGGTTAACACAGAGTGTTGTATTATGTACATTACAACAATTACAAATTATACAACAAAATGGTCAGCAAACAAGTATTGGAAAAGTACCATCCAAAGACGAAAAAGAAGAAGGAAAAACAGATGAAAATAAAGCAGAAAACTCAGATTTTGCACAAATAGAGATACAAATGAAACACAACTGGTCTCAACAAGATAGAGAAAAATTATTTCATCTTCTTTCAAAAATATTTTTATTAAATTTTCCTCTCTATATTGCAATGAAACATGGTGGTGCAATTAATCCATTAGCTCCAATAAAAGTAATATGTCACTGTAAAAGGTAATTTTCTATGTACATATTTATACATTATTTTTTGTTGTTTTAAAGGATGAAGGAGGATATTGTGAGCCTCATGATCCAGAAGTGCCAGCTCCTTTAATTAGAGCAGTGTCCATATTTTGTCATCAAGGTGGTTTCAATTTAATGTCTGCTTGTTTTGATATGGAAAATACATTACCTGTTAGTCTTGCACATTCGATGGTTGTAGTGATTTGTAATTTAAAACTTTGGTTAAATTATGGTAGCGTTATTCAGCTCTTTATACCATTACGCAGTCGTGTTATGAAATATATGTGTCGCTTAGCAGATAAAGAATTACGCACACCAGCAGTTAGAACGATGGCAGGTAAATTTTGAAATAAATAAGATTATAATGATTTATGATATATTTTCTATTTTTATATTTATAAAACTCTTTATATTTAGATTTCATGTGGAGTGCTGTAAAGGATCCTATCGATGCTGTTTTACCAAGTTTTGATCGTGATGGATTGGATTTAGCATTTAAATATTTTACTAGTACAACTTTAACTATGAGACTAGCAGGAATAGCTCAAATAAATGCTCATATTACTGCATTCAATGAACTTTGCAATAGTGAAACTGTCGCTGAAGTGGAACAAGTAGGCCATGCATTGGCTGCATGGTTAACAGAAAATAATATAATAGCTCATATATTTGGACCAAATTTGCATGTAGAGGTTATTAAACAAAGTCATATTGTACTAAGTTTCTTAGCTATGGAAGGTAGAATCACATGTTCTGATATGGATACTATGTGGCAAGCTGCACAATTGAAACATTGTGGTCGGCCAGTATATGATTTATTGGCACCCTTAGTAAAACATTTGGCTCCAACTCCAGTTTTACATTTATACTCTTTGTTAGGAAAATTGGAGCCAAAGGACCACACAGAACAAAGTTTATTCCTGGCATCTGCTTTGATAAAATTTATTTGGACAGCAGGTGGTTCAGGTTATCCAAGAAGTTTATCTATAAAAAACAGAGAAATTTTAAGAGGTACTAGTGGTATTGGTGGAAGTAGTACTAGTGATCCTAGTGGTATAGATGGAAGTAGTCCAGATGAAGATGAAGAAGAAGCCAGTGCTCCATCTGAAGGGCCTTCACCACGAAAACAAGCAAGAGGCGATAGTAGCGATGGAGAAGGTATATGTATAATTAGTATTTTTATCTTTAAATATGAAACATTTATCTTTAAATGTATGTGTGTGTGTGTGTGTGCGCGCGCGCGCATGTATATATATATATATATAAATGATTTAAAATATAAATATTTAAGGTCCATTTAAAACAAAAAATGTGGGTACAGCAGTTGTACAAACAAGTTCGAATGAAGGAGAAGATCATGCAATAGAAAAATCTGAATGTTTTACTGAATCAACAAAAGATTCTGCATGTAGTATGCAAGATGATCTAAAAGAAAAACAGAGTGGATCAGATGCAGAGGCTGATACTGAAAAGTCTAATACCGAAGAAACAATTGCACTAGAAAAAAGGAAGAGAAAAGTGTTAAGAAAACGGAAAAAACCTCAAAAACGTTCATTAGTTACTACAGATAAGGCATTAGAAGGCATCGTAAATGAAGAAAATAATATGAAAACTAAAGATTTAATGTTAGATATAAAATATAGGCCAGAGGATGTTTTAAACAGTACTTTGGATACTGGTGGATTAGTTTCTATGGATGATCCAAAAGGTGTTGATGCATTAGATCGTGTAAAACAACAAGCAATGGCTTTAGATCCAAGTGATCAACAAGTTCCAACAACAGCGGCACTCTTGAGAAGAGCTAACAAAAATAAATATATGTCATTAGTAGGACATAATGTAGATCGAGCTCCTGACTCTGCAGATACTTCACATGATGAAGATGATAGTGATGTAGCTGGTGTTCTTGCAGCAGCAGATGGGCCTGGTGCTGTTATATCAGAACTTGCTGGTTTAGTACATGCAACAGGACCTACGTTTTTACCTTCAGGATTAGATGAAATGCTTTCGGATGAAGAAGGATCCTATAGTAGCAGAATATCTAATAAAAGTGAAAAAAATATGGCAGATTTTGATGGAGAAGAAAGCGGATGCGAAGAGGAATTAGCTCAATTAGCTGCGCGTCATTTAACAGCTATACAAATGCAAGCTTATCATCCTCATCATTCTCATCCAACAATGACAATTAGACGATCTGTTTGTCGTCCTCCACAAGTGAGAAGTATCCGCCAAACTGTAACACGTGTTAATTCTCAATTCAACTTGGACACTGTATGTAAACCAGGAAATACATTATTATGGGATCTTTTGCAAGATGATAAAATTGGGCAATTAGGAGAAGGTTTAGCTTTGGAAGCTGAAAAAGCTTTGTGCAATCTTCTTTGCTTCAATGTTGACCGATTAATACCTATGAAATTCATAGAAGGTTGCCTAGAAAATCTTGCAACCAATCGTTCTGTGGTAGTATCTTTAAGATTATTACCTAAATTACTTGCCAGTTTTCAGCAATTTGGTGCAATGGATGCACACACAATAACGACGTGGGCCGATCGTGAACGTGGAATGATGAGACATTTCTTTAATAACTTGAAAACATATACTAGTACAGGGCCAAAAAATAGCTTGTATTCCCATCAAACGGAAATACAAGTTAGACTACAATTTTTATCTTCTATTTTTTCACCTTTAGGTTCACCT